AAACTCCTAGCTCCTTCCTACGCCTACTACTCTTACTACTTCCACTGCCCCTACAATTCCTGCGCCAACAACAACAACACCAGCAGCAGCAACAACAACAACATACAACAACAACTACAACTACAACAACAACAACTACTACTACTACTACTACTACTACGACGACGACGACTACTACTACTACGACTGTGACGACTACGACTGTGACGACTACGACGACGACGACTGCTGCTGCTGCTACTACTGCTGCTGCTGCTACTACTATAGTTACTGCTATTACTGCTGTTGCTACTGGCACTACTACTTGCAAAGCAGGAAGTACCACTTGTGCCGGGTCGCATGACATCATGCGTGTGCGGGGTGGTTACGGTTGGTCACGGGTGGGTCCCCCCGGCGCTACAGCTATCCAGCTCTGAATAGGGATCTGACGATATTTCCAGGTCACGGGCGGTCACGGGTTGGTCACGGGTACTGTCCTCGTGGCGCTATACATATTTAGTCCAGGTCACGGGTCTGACGATATTTCCAGGTCACGGCCGGTCACGGGTTGGTCACGGGTGGGTCCTCCTGGCGCTACAGCTATCAAGCTCTTAATTTTGTCTGACGATATTTCTAGGTCACGGGTCGGTCACGGGTCGGCTTCGGGTTTCGGGTGTAAGGTGTAGTAGTTTGGGATGTAGCGTTTAGGGCTTGGTTGGGGTGCGTTTGGGGATTGGGGTTTAGGGGTTTGGTGGTGAGCTTTGAAGGATTTAAGGCTTTGGGTTTGGGGCGCAGGCTTGGGTCTAGGGTTTGGAATTGGCTTCGAGTTTGGGGTTGGAGTTGTAGGGCTTGGGGCTTGGGGTTTGGTGGGGCTTGGCGTTTGGTAGGGCTTGGGGTTTGGGGTTCAGGGCTTCGGGCTTGGTGTAGGGTTTGGGCTTGGGTGAGATTTGGGGTTGGTCGTTGTGGGTAGGGCTTGGAGTTTGAGGGTGCGGGCTTCCGGGTTTGGGGCGCAGGGCTTCGGGTTTGGAGTTGGGGGTGTAGGGCTTAGGACTTGGGGTTTGGCAAGGGGGTGCAGGGCTTCGGGCTTGGGTGGGGGGGGAGTTAGGGCTGTGGGGCTTCGGGCTTGGCGTTTGCCAGGGCTTCAGAGCTTGGGCTTGGGGTTGGGGTGTAAGGCTTGGGCTTGTGGTGGTGGATCGAGGGATTTGGGGGTGCAGTTGGTGGGGCTTGGGGTGGCTTAGGGCTTGGGCTTGGCAAGGCTTGGGGTTTGGGGTGCAGGGCTTCGGGCTTGGGGTTGGGGTTTGGTAGGGAATCTTGGAATTTGGGGTTGGGGTGGAGTTGGGCTTGTGGCTTGGTTGGGGGTGTGGGGCTTAGGGCTTGGGGTTTGGCAGGGCCTGGCGTTGGGGGGTGCAGGGCTTTGGGCTTGCATTTGGGTTTGGGGTGGGGGGAGGGTTCAGGCGGAGTAGGGCTTTGGGGCTTGGGGTTTGTGGTTGGGCTTGCTTAGGGTAGGGCTTGGGTTTTGAGCTTTGGAAGGGCTTGATGTTTAGGGTTCGGGCTTGGGGTTTGGGTGTAGGGCTTGGGGCTGGGGTTGGGATTGGGATTTGGTAGGTACCGGGCTTCGGGTTGGGGTCGGGGGTAGGGCTTGGGGCTTGAGGGCTTGGGGTGTGGTGGGGCTTGGGGTTGGGGGGTGCAGGGCTTCGGGCGTGCAGTTGGGGTTTGGTATGTGATTCGGCCTCGTATTGACGGCGTGCGGCTTCGGGCGCCGTGCGGGTTTGGGTGGGGCTTGGGGTTTGTGGTTGGGCTTCGGCTTGGGCTGAGTCGGGCTCAGGGTGGGGTTTGGGGTTTGGTCGGGCTTTGAGGTTTGGGGTGTCGGGCTTGGGCTTGGGGTTTGAAGTGTTTCGGGCTTGGGGCTTGGGTGTAGGTCACGGGGTTTGGGGTGTCGGGCTGAATTTGGAGGGTTGGCTCGGGCTTGGCTTAGGGCTAGGGGTGTTGCTTGGGGCTTGGTTTGGAGTGGATGGGGTGGGCTTGGGTTTGGAGAGCAACGGGAGGGGGGCGGCGGGGGCGCGGTTGTGTCTGGCCGGGAGCGGGATGGTTGTTATGGTTGGACAGCTAAACCCCCAAACACATGTAAACCATAAATACCGCTAAATTCATAAACCCCGAAGCCCAAACCCTGAACACCCAAACCCCGAAACTCCAAACCGAAATCCACCGACCTCAAGCCCTAAACACCCACACCCCAAATCCCAAACACTAAACACCCGAGCCCCAAACCCTCAGCTCGGCAACCCCAATCCCCAAACTCCGAAGCTGCACGCAATCAATCCTCAGCCCCAAACCCCAAACCCTAAACACTCAAACCCGCACACCAAACCCAGAGCCTCAAACCCTCAGCACATTACCCCGAAATACAAACTCCTGAGTTCCAAAACCCAAAAAACAAAGCCCAAACCCTGAGCGCAAATCCTAAGCCCCAAAACCACAAAGCCCAAACACCAAACCCCGAACCCTAAACACCCAAAGCCCCAGCCGCAGCCATGAGGGATGAGGGTGGGGGTTTCAGGCTCAGGATTTTTGCGACTGGGGTGTGGGGTTTAAGGGTTCTGGTTTCAGGTTCGGGGTTGGCTGCTTGCAGTTTGGGGTTTGGGGTGGGGTTAGGGGTGGGGTTAAGGGCTTTGGATTTGGGGCTTGATTTTCATTGGCTTACGGTTTTGGGCATTGGGTCGGTCGTTTGGGTTTTCAAGGTTTGGTGTTGGGATTTGGGGCTTAAGGTTGGGGCTTATGGCTTAGGGCATTGGGTTTGAGGTTTGGGTATTGTGGTTATTGACGCTTTGGGAATTTGGGCTTCAAACAAGCGGGTTTTGTGGCTTGGGTGTTGAATGGTCTGAGTTTGGGCTTGGGGGCTTGCCTGTTTACGGTATGGGTTGTGAGTGTTTGGGGTTTTGGGGCTGAGGCTTTATTTAGGCTTAGGGTGTTGCATTTCGGGTTGGGCGTTTCGGGGCATAGGCTTTATTGGTTTGGTGCTATGGAGTTATGGGCCTAGGGGCTCAGGCTTTGGGGTTGAGGTTTGGGTATTTGGGGCTTGGGGTTCGAGATTTGAGATTTAACGTTTGGGGTCCTGGATTTGAGTTTTGTGGTTTGGGTGTTTTGGGTTGGGGGGTTCGGGGTTTGCAGTTTCGGTGTTTGATGTTCGGGGTTTAGGGTTGAGAGTCGGCTGATTTGGGGCTTTGAAGTTTGCAATGGGGATTGGGGCTTCGGGGCTCAGTTTCGGCTTTGGGGTTATTTGTGTGTTTAGAGTGTGGGGCTTGGGGGTTTTGGGTTTGAGCTTTGGGTGGGCTGAGGTTTGAGTTTGGGGGCTCGGGGCTTCGGTGTGTGTTCAGGGGTTTGGGTTTAGGGGCTTAGGATTTGGGCTTCGGCTCTGGGGTTAGGGTTTGGGGTCCTGGGTGTGGGCTTCGGGGTTTGGGTGTTTCGGTTTGGGCGTTGAGGGTTTGGTCCAGCGCTTGAGATTTTGGGGTTCTTGTTTGGTTAGGACTGCTGGTGTGGGGCCTGCAGCACTGAGTTTGGGGCTTGGGGTCTCGCGAGTGGGGCTTTGGGTGTGGGGGTTTGCTTGGGATGGTATAAGGGGGATGGTTTGGGGTTGGTATGGTTGGGATGGTTGTTCGGGGTTGGGATGGCATGACTGGTATGGTTGGGGGGGGGTGGACCGGCAGCGGTGGAGTTGGTATGTTTGGGCTGGTGGCTTGACACAGGGGTTTGGGATGGGTTTCCACTGGTTTCCAAACCGGTGCACACGGGCAGTCCCTTGAAGTGGTGTCGTCAGAGGGGGTAGTTTCCGAACCGGTGCGGGAGTGCGGGCCACGGGCGGTGTCGCGAGCGGGGGCTGTCGCGTGCGTCGCGATACAGGTCGCAGCAAGTTTTAGGTTCTGTAACGCAGAATCGAGTCTATAACTGTTTATGGCAACAGCTACAGATGGTGTAAGTACTGATTCACAAATGATTTACCTATATATGCTAACCTAGAACATCTTGGTTTGACACTATGATCTTGATGCCCTCGGAATCAACGGTTTCTGTTGATATGGCGACCCCTTAGAAGCATCAACATCGCAATTGTTATCAGCAGCCGGTGCTCGAGCCCAACATCTCTTCAAATCGAGGCGCGTCTGACATCTCTATTCTATTACAGGTCCCGCGACCAGTAGGTCAGGAACTCAAGATCAAACAAAGAAAGCCCAATCGCAATTCTCCAACGGATAAGGCGACTGTGGGCGGTCTCAGAATCTTGGGAACGGCTTTCCCCCAGAGCTGCACTGGGGATGGGAGGGTCGTTTTAAGGCTGCTGAGATCCGACAAAAGCAGCCTACCCCTGCGCCGTTGACTGAAAAATCCGGGGTCCGGAGACGGTACTTCCAGCGGATATTACCATGGATCCTGTCTGACGATGTTTCTAATGGTTCAAAGCAAGCATAATTCCATGCGCAATTGGCAGAACCATGCAGTCGCACAAGAACCAGCAAAAAGACCGACGAATCCCAAGCAAGCGCGACAACACGAAGTGGTATGACCACCAAGCACAGCGACCAAGCCATTCTGGTGTGAAACACGGAAGCAAACTCGGTTTTATGTGTCACGATTTGAAATATAAGTACTGCAGCCACAGAGCCAACCAGATTTCCACAGTCCCGGGAGCTTTGACATTTCTGGATAATCTCGTCGCTTGACATAGTCTTTCAAGCATTCTGACGATATTTCGGCGCTCTGACGATATTTCCGACAGTATTTTTCGTGCCTTGACGATATCTCTGGTGTCTCGACGATGTTTCCCGGGTCCCGACGATATTTCCCGGGTCCCGACGATATATTCTGTGTCCCGACGATATTTTCCAGGATCCCGACGATATTTCTGGATTCCCGACTATATTTCCGGAGTCCCGACGATATTTCCGAAGTCCCGACGATATTTCCGAAGTCCCGACGATATTTCCGGAGTCCCGACGATATTTTGGGCAGAAATGCATTCCCGACTATATTTTGGGTTGCTTTGATGTCCCGACGATATTTTGCCAGCCCCGACGATTTTTCTTCGGAGCCTGACGATAAAATATAGCCAAAAGCATGTCCAGGAAAGTGGGAAGCTCTTGCAGAAGAGAGGCAGGGAACGGATTCCTGCTCTGGTTCAGCAGGAACTTCGTGTTCAAGTACCTTTCCTTAAGGGCCTCGATGTCGTCAAGCTCCATATCCTTGAGTGGGCACTCCGGGTTGAACACGTTCATCTCCAGGGCCGCGCGCAGCTGGGTGCCCCAGGCATCAATGGAGTCCGCCACCGGCCGAAGGAGCTGGGAGCGCTGGGATCCCTCATCCTGCATGCGCTTGTTCGAGGCCTTGGCCTCTTCCAGGCTAGTCTGCGCAGCGAAAAACTCGTCACCCTGGTTCCCAGGGCCCTGCAGGTAATTTCGCTTAAGGAGGGAACGAAGCTTCTCTGTATCCAGCTGCCGGAGGATTGACGCACCCTTTGCCTCCTCGACACTCTGTGCACCCGCCTGCATCTCCACGATCACATCCAGCTGGGGGTTGATGTGATCCAAGAACTCCTCTTCCGTGGGCTTCTTGGGCTGTTTGTCCACCGGGCCCGAGCTCTTCTTGGTGATGTCCATCGCCGCCGCCAGCTGGGGATGGAAAGCCCTCGTCTCCTGGCTTGGTTGCCAATCACCCCGGAGGTGGGGTCTGTCCCCTGCCTCCTTGTCGGCAAACTGCACCTCGTCGAAGGGCTGTGTTGCCACCGTGTGAGCCAAGCTAAGCCTCAGGGCCATAGGCACCTGGTCGGCAAAGCTCAGCTCCTTCTGATCCGTGGGCCTGGGTGGCGGCTGGGCCCAGGAGCCAATGTCCACGGAGGCGGCTTCCTTCTGGGCCTCGTCTGCATCCGTGTGCCACGTGACACCCTTGGGGCCACAAAACATTCGCCAGGAGGACTGGCCTAGCTTGATCTCTGCCGAAGGCGGGCCCTTGTCCACGGCGATGACCGACTTCTGGCAGAGCTTACACTTCCCCTCCACCTTGTTGTCCTGCCGCTGCCAGTCGGAGAAGCAGTTCGGGCACATGAGGGTAGCCCCCGTGCTGCCCGGGTCAAGTTGGCCCATGCTGCTGTGCCCCACTCCTCTGCGAGCACGGTTGTAGGGGGCGGCCAGCATCTTCTCCTGTGCCAGCTGTCGTTTGTAGATTTGGTACACCTCAAGGACTCGTTCCACAGCCGGGCGGCTCCACTGCTCCGCCTTGAGCTCGGAGAACAAGGAGGCGATCTCCTCCTTTGTCAATTGCTGGGCCCAGTCTGCACTCTTCTTGCCGATGCCGGGGAAGTTGTCCGGGAAGCCCTCGATTTTGAAGACCTTCTCCTCCAGGGCGCCGGCGGGCAGGGCCGAGTAGGGCCGGGGCCTGCTGGCATCATCCTTGGCCACCGTGTCGCCGCCCTCAGGGACAAAGTCACCTGTGGTTGGCACCTCGGGCCTATCCATGGGGTCGTCCGCCGCAGCACCCTCAGGGACAAAGTCACCTGTGGTTGGCACCGCCGGCTTGTCCATGGGGTCATCAGTAGCAGCACCCTCAGGGACAAAGTCACCTGTGGTGGGCACCTCCGATCCCGTGGTGTCCATGGTGGTGTCCTCCGTGACCGCCACCATCTCACTGCCCTTGGCCAACAGCCTTTTCATGGCAGCTTCCATTTCCTGGAGTCGCAAGTCCATGCTGGTGTCATCCACCTCCAAAGTCGTGAAGGATGCCAATGCCGAATTGGCCGACTCATCCTCGTGGGCATGGACATTGTGGGCCAAGGTAGCACGAGCCAAAGCAACTTCGTCGTCCGGCTTCTCCCATTCCTGATCACTGTCCCCTGTGTCGCGAGGGGGGATCAAACTCTCAACCGTCTCCATGCTGGAGGCCAAGACGTCATCGACATTAGCAACGGGGGTGAGTGCCATGGTCGAAAGTCGCAAGGGAGAAAGCGGGAGCGGTTTCAAATTTTGAAGGACCCACGGTCCACGATCTTGGGCCAAAATGGCAGAGCCATTTTGGCAGACGTCTCCTGACATAAGTCTTGCAAGTCGGCAAGCTTTGTTGCAAGTAACTATTGCTTTCTACACATGTACCTCTCGACAGGTATACATACGTGTGTCTATGACTACGACTACTGATGAATTCTTTGTGGTGAGACTGGGAAGAACCGAAAGAGACAAAGAGACGAGGCGACAAAGAGCGAACGCGAGAGAGACAGAGAGAGAGGGAGAGCGAAAGAGAAACACGGAGAGAGAGAAAAAAAAAAATAGAGAGAGAAAAAGAGAGAGAAAGAGAGAGAGAGAGAAAGAGGCACGTTTTAAGACACAGGAGAGGGCATGCGGCCGTGTAAAGGTGTAAGAGTGTGCTATCGTGCACGTGCGCTTTTCTACATGCATATGTAGGACGCGTGTGCGTACATGTATGTCAATGTGTTTGTGCGAATACGTACAACTGTAACATTGGAGAGAGTATCTAGAGACAATGAAGAGTCCGTCTAACCAGCTGAGGCACCATGTGACAGGTCGAAGCCCTGACAGATATCGGCCGCAAGCAGACCCTGGCATTGCAGCGACGGAGGACAGTGTCACGATTGAAATGCATAGTACCAAGGTACTCGTCAGTTCGCTCAAACCGGATTTAAGGGCAGAAGCTGCCCCGGGCATTCAGTATCTTATTACGGCGGAGCCTGCATTTCTTTGTCCGCATCGACGGATTGACGAAGGTCGTGGAGCCAGAGCCATGGAGCCAACCTCCACGCAGCTGAAACACTGGGCATCCACGCATCAAAACGAAGCATGTGCTTTTGCCAGGATCATGTATGACAAGGTGCTTCCAAGCAGACACGATGACTCAGACCGAGGAGCTGCCCTGGCGTTTCCAAGTCCGCGGCCAAGTCGGTCGGAGGCCGGATCTTTTGCAAGAGGCCTGCACAGGACGCCAAACTCCCCTCCAGACGCCCTCCGCACGCGGTCCGGGGCCTCTTTGGGCGTCCTCGAAGAGCACCGTCCGCAGGGGCGCGTGGCGGCGGGTGAGCTGCTCCAAAGCCCGGGCCAGGTCTGGGATCTTCAGGCCCGGGCCCTCCAAGCGATACGCGAACTGGATGCCGTAAGTCCCGGTCCCGGGCTGCAAGCGTTCCTCAGCTCAAAAACGCGATAGGATGCGAAGGGGCTCAGAGCTTGGCTACAGCACTCGGGATCCGACCAGGAGCCAGAAGCGCTCTTGCCCGAAAGATGCTGGAGCCTCGCAGCCTCGATGAAGGCGCGGGATGTGTCTCCGATAATGGCGGCACGAGGCCAACCAGTGCTGAAAGCAGCTTAAATCAGCTGGGAAACTCGCCGAATCCTCCACCTGCAGCTGACGAGCATCCTCTGGCACCGTCGGAACGCCCTCACCGACTTTCTCTGCGATCCTGCCGGAGCAGAGGGGGACGGCTGGGCTTCATGAAACAACACGGTCCAACACTCCTCTCCGCAGTGCGAAGCGTGAAGATATCCTGCCTCGTGCTGCGATGAAGTGGAAGACTGTGACGCAAAAAAGCACTTCGACATACTTAGGAATGAGGCAAGACACAGAGACAGCTGCTGCAGCCGCCCCTGCAGGCGCATTGCGGCCATCGACTGGCCGCCGAGCCTGCGTATGCTGATGAACGATTATAGACTTATAGACTATATAGACTACATACCTCAAGATGTGAGGACCTGGCAACTGGTCAAGGACCTCCCTCCAACATGCAGGTGGGCGGCTCAAAAAAGTCGTCGTCTACACCCAGGTGAGCGGAGCTTGGCATTCCCAGAGCTTCCTTGAAGCAAACCAGAACATGTCGCTCCATTTCTGTTGCAGGTTGGCGACGATCTGCGTGCTGTCTCTTTGAATCAGCGACTTCCAACAATTTCGCCAATAGGTCGCGATCTATTTTGCCACTAGATGTCAGCGGCATCTGTGAACGAGTTACAATCGCATCAGGCACCATGTACGATGGCAGCTGTTGTGTGAGGGTTTCGCGCAATGCGACTGAGTCGACGGACTGGGGCGCAACGAAAGCAACCAGCCGCCGTTCCGAAGACCCCCGGGAAGCAGCCAGGACGATTGCTGCAGTCACGGGAGTGGCGAGCTTGGCTTGGCAGCAAGCCTGCTCGATCTCGCCCAACTCCACCCGGTGACCACGCAGCTTCACCTGAAAGTCCGCCCGGCCAAGGAACTCCAACACCAGCTCCGAGGCGACCACTTCGGTGTCGAAGCTCTCGGAGCCGCTCCGCGGGCTCCGAGGCACGAAGCGCACCAAGTCACCAGTCCGGTAGGCCCTGGACGTCTGAAAGGCCTCAGCAGCCTGAAGGCACCCAGCATCCCGAAAGCTTTCCGCCGTTAGCTGCGGCTGGCCGATGTATCCCAAGGCCACGCCTGGAGCGCTGCACATGGAAGACGGCTTCTAGAACCTGCGAAACAACACCCAAGATACCCACGGCAATGTTCCTAAGCCGCCATACCACGCCCACCTTCGCCTGCGATGTACAGCTGCCCAGCCATGCCTGGCAAAGCTACAGTCGCCGAACGGCCACTCTCGTCCAAGACATAATACCTCGGCAGGGCCACCGTTTATTTCGGCTGTTCCAATTGCCACTTACGCCAGCATCCTGACCGTCTCAACCCCCGTTGAGCTGAGATGCTGGTGATTCCAGATAGGATTGCCGTAGGGCACGGAGCGCCACTTGGGATCTACTTCAGCCACATCGAAGAAGTTGGACCAGACAGTGGCCTGGTTGTGGACTCTACGCTGAACCCTAAACTACTAAACCCTAAAGCGACCGCACTCCGAGCTCCTCTGTAGCCCCGCCCAGCGCGACGATTCGGGCAGCAGTGGCAGAGCGCAAGGCCCGAACCTGCAGGGCACAGAACTTCCTGTAAAACACCTCAGACCTTCCCTGAATAGCTAAAACAATCAAGCACTTACAAGGGCACTTGACGTCTCTATTGCTCCTCACTTTGCCGGCCGCTCAGTCAAGAAGCAAGTGCCAGGGGCACCCAGTCGCCACTGAGAAAAACCGTCCGGATGTCTCGCAAGTCTTCCACGCGCCTCAACACAGAGCTGAAACACCCAAACGGTAGACTGGATGCCACCAAGTTTGCAGGCAGCTACTGTCAAGGCCCGAAAGGCCGATAACTTCAGGCACGGTGCTCCAGGAGCTGGAGCACTGCAGGTGCTGAGTCCCAGAAGCCTGAGCATTCGAACCATGTTTACGACGGTCTGCTGGCTAAGTCATAAAGAAAGTTCCAACAAGTCAACAAACATCGCCCACACGGTACTGTAGCAGGTGCCAACTTCACAAAAGCGAATGTCCATCTTCACACTAAGCTGAAGCTAGCAGACTACAAGCAGACCCATGCCGACGATGACCAATCGCAGGCTGGCAGCTAGCTGTTGCCAGTTGCCGCCGCAGCTCAGTCGGGGAGGAAGCACCGAGAAGTATCCTAGAATTCAAGGACAAATGAAAATCCAACGACTGGGAGCGGAAACTGCTTCGGATGAGATTCCTGCCGCCGGCTGCCAGGGTCCCAAACATATCGTAGCAGGAGAGGTCAAAGCCGATGGAAGTCACAAAAAGCAGCACGTCTGACTCCTGCTCGCCACAAACGGCCCTTCGTGCGCCGCCTGCTCTGCTGGACATGACGCTGTGCAATGACTGGTCTTCCAAATCCCTTGTTGTGAGTTTTCTTGTGTCCAGCTGTTGGGCACGACCTGGCATCTACTCTGGTCACGGGTATCCAGACGTTCGGGAGCTACAGAGCAATCTTTAAGCCTTCCACACAGTTGGGTGCCGTAGTCACCATAGTCAGCCATCGCCTTGCCCGCTTCCGAGCCTTTGTACCTTTGCCACATTGCCCCATAACCGCCTCTGCTCCGCCCCTTGTTCCTCCTTATGATGATCCTACTCCTGTTGCATCTTGGTCTCTTCCGCCTGCACCGCTCGCAGACATCTTGACAGCAAGTGCCCCCCGACCCGGCTGTGATGTCCAATGCTGTGACTTTGCTGAAACGGTGCAAAGCTTGAACAAACATGTTCTGAATGGCGTGCACATGCTCTCCCTAAGCTTCAGCATCTGGCGAACCATCCTGTTCTTTTGAAGGTGGAGCATCTGGCATATAGCATTGTGACTGTCCATGGCCGGCTATTAAACTAAAGAAGTTTTGAATGCCCTACCGCCGAGGAATAGCCGGTCCTTGATATCATAGACCGTGTTTACCCATTCCTGATTCAACAAAGCTCAATGGCGCGCAGGTAGACACTGGAAGACAGTCCCGCAGTCATAGATCAAAGGCATTGGCAAGTTTAGCTTTACTCGCAATGGTAAAAACCAAGGCTCAATTAAATGAACAATGGATCGGTGGGAGACAGCAACCCCTTTCGGCTGTCCAGTTGAACCTGATGTGAAGATGACCTAGGCGAGCCCAAGGCCAACGATATGGCGACTGTTCTCGTCTCTTCCAAACGCGACCAGGCGGCATATGCCAGCTGCTGCGTTCTATCGTTCTCGTCTTCGACGTGCCTGTGGGTCGCAGCTGTCTCCGAGATACACTATTAGCACTCTGCATACTGTGGCGTTGAACGTTTACGAGACCCGCCTGGGCAGAACTCCCCTTTGAAGGTGAGCAGCACCGGGCTGGTTCGCGGTGAAGCTCAAGCAACTGGTAAGCCACGCCTCCAACCGAAATCGAGAACACTATGCCGCAGCCACTCTCTGCCTCTTGCTGAGATGTCTGGACTAAACTGAGCACGTTTGAGTCAGCATCTTCTTGTTGTGCCTCAGCGCTGCCCTGCTCAGCAGCCGTGACGAAGCCTTCAGCTTCCACGGTCAGCTGGAAGAAGCTCGGGCCTGACGAAACCCGGCCCGGGATGCCGAAAAGCGCACTTCGGTCGAATCGAAGAATGCCACTCAGGCCTAGGGTGGCCTTCTCAGCACCTTCGCTTGTGTTCTCCTCCGGCGTTTGCTCACAGCTCCCGGCTCTGACATGGGCTTTCCAGCCTCTTGAACACTTCAAGGCCTCCATTAGCTTTCTCGAGGCCACCAGCAAACCAGCCCCAGCTGTGCGCAGCATCACCAGCACCTGCGCACATGGGCTGGGTCTGCCAAGCGGTCGACCAGAATGACATGAGCGCAGCGTCGCTCAAAGACTTGAAAGCGCAGAGCGAGACACCCGCTTCGCCGGGAGCTTCTCATCACAGGGCAGGTAGCCCTGACCTGCCTTGGAATGGAATGGAAAGCCAGCGAATGCTGCAGCAACTGGTGGCTTTGCCGGGCCGCATAGAACAAGTTGCTGTCGCATGATACCAAGGGGCCTCCACTGCGGCGATGGCGAGGGCGACAGCGTATCGATTGCGTGGGAGCCACAAGGCAACCGGGCCGCTCCCTGACACTTCAGTTTTCTGTGCTTCACACTCGCAATCTTCGTGATACCTCGGTACCCTCTGGCTTTCAAAATGCTGAAAACACACATGCTGCCGCTGTCGCCTTGCAGCTTCTGCGCAGCGGCCTTTCGCAGCGCCGCGGCCAAGGCTCCGCTGCAGCGGAGCAGCGAGGCGTAGCTGACGACCTGCGCAGTGGAGCAGCGATGGCAGTCAGGATGGCACAAGGAAAAAAAACGCTGTGAGCTCCACCTTCCCGTCTGGCTCCTCGACTGCGACGTGGGCCTGCCAGCAGCGAAAGTGAGCTCGCAGGCAAGCGGGTCTCCACCAATTCGCTATGGTATCTGGAAACGCCAAGCTCAGTCCTGTGGAAGAGTTGATGCACGCGAGCGTATCACTTCGTGCAGCAAAAGCCTCAGCTTTCTGTGGACAAGGTGCAGACACGGCTGCAACTCCTGCTTGCCATGCCATATCTTCCCCAATACTGGTCGAGCGGCCCGTCGCCTTGGCTCGGGCACACTCTGCTAAACCTCACTGTCTTGTCTCATAGCCGGCCTGCAAATGTATGCTGCGTCTGGTTAAAGTCGTGCACCAGCACCTGCTGTACCGCCTGAGCAGGAGCTGCAGCAAAAAGAGACGCAAGAGAGGAGGAAATCTCGGAACATCTCAGAACATGGATGCTAGATCTCTTCAGACATCGCGCAAGGCGCAGGCCTCGAGACGGCGATAGAAGTCATCATACAGGATACAACTACCCAGTATTTCTCAAGAGTGGGAAAAGCAAAAGCAAAACGACCAGCGACTTGGTGGAACGGAGAGGGGGACGGTATCTAAAGACAGCAAGGACTAAAGACGAAACAATCGGTCTTGCAACCGCGTGCACCATCTAACGGCTCTGGTTGCCTTGAAGGTCAACAAGCCTCAGTACCCCATCTGTCGTTTACAACAAACCCGAGAACGGGTCCGCTCATGATCTGTTCGGAGATCGAAACCAAATTCCCGACGTGAGAAGCTTTCGTAAGCGGAGGCCGAGAAGATGACTTGGGATTGGCGACTCTTCAGAAGAATAACACTTCTTCCTTGCGAGGTTTGCGTTTCTGCTTGAGCATCTGATCCTGACACAAGCCTGTTGCTGCCACACCTGCGCCATGGGAAATCTAGATGGAGATTCTAGTCCGATTAGCTATCATAGAACAATCGTCATTGCATCTATTGGTGGCATCTCTGGCTGCTGGAGAACTCTATGGTGCATTCTCTCATTGGCTCGGCCAGCCCACTTGGAGCACTGAGCTGATTTCATGTGAGAAAGTCTGCCATGGTCACAGTCCGGTGCGTGCTTGCCTCTTGGTGTGTTGGCACAATTGTGTCCCACAACGAGGTCTAAACATCCTCACAAACCTGCCAAGCAAATCATTCCAAGTCAAACTCTTGTAGAGTTGTCTTCGATGAAACATGTAAGACAAACACTTCAAGCTTGACAACCGACATGTCATGATCACTCTCTACCAAAAAATTGGAGCTCGGGCTGTATTGCACGGGTGTTGCACGCTGGTAACAAGGCATCGTGCCTGCGGACACACCGCCAGCTCGGAGATGGGTACATCGCCTGTACGACACATCTCTGGAAAAGGTCTACCAAACCTGCTTCATGCACATCTGCGCGCCTTTACCATGGTTGTAAGCCTCCAAGAGGCTTTCGAGCGCTTTGCCAAATACCCAGACCTGTAAGCAGAGGAGGAGAATTGTCTTCATTCGTCGAAGGGCACACAGAAGCAGATTCTGACACTGGATTCTCCGTGCGCGCGAGACAGGCGCAGCTGTCCAAGCGCCTTGTTACCATCGAGTTGCCGAAATCGCACTTGCACTTTCATCGCATCATGCCTGCGTGCGATAGTGAACAATGGAACAACAAGCTTTGAATCACGAGGGTCGAGGCCTGCCGGTGAGATGCAGTTGCAGCGGATTTGCAACGACTCCCAACTCCTGGGCTTCTGCACCTGTCCACGACGCGACAAGAGTCAGCCAGAGCATGCTAGAGTCAACCGGTCGTGAACAAAGCAAGAACAGTCGCTCCATGCGGATCCTGGCAGACTTCTGCAGCAAAGACACAGATTGCGGCAAATCCGCTGGTACCGTGGGAAGTCGCAGCCGACGATCCCTCCTGCGAGCAACTGGCAACAGCTTTCAATGCAGGTCGGCTTTTGTAGAGAATAGGGACTGGGTCCTCGAGGGTCAGCAGCGCTTGCTGTACACATACTTCCACGTCTTGGAGTGACACTGAGCCCTTGCGGTGCAAGGACAGCAACGGTGCCTGACGTTTCAGCAGTTTCATTATCTCAGGGAAGCATTTGAACGTTCGAAGTCAGACCGTGATGCAGCTTTGCCAGGGTCCTTGCGTCTTTGCCTGTGAAGCAACATGTCAGTTGTGCGGTGTCACCTCGGGAACCAGCAATTGCTGCAGTGGCTGAGTTGTAGGGTTGCAGGACCTGACACAAAAACCGTACCGAGACGTGCCAAGAGGCAGCCCGTCAGCCGCCACGCCACGGCTGCCACGGCAGCTGAAAGAAGTGCCTGGGAGCAGCAGGCCTCAGGAAACGATGCTGTGTTTTCAGAGGGCCACGACGCATTTGCACTTTCCACGTGCCTGGAAAGGCTCGAGGTTTCTCCACGTGTCGACGGTCTCTCCAGGCACCGCTTCGATACCCGCAGGGCAGGCTGCCGAGGCCTGGAAACACTTTGGCTCAGGCTTCCGCTGTCAAAGCCACACTCTCGGCTTGGGCAAGAGCATCTGGACTTGCCCAGAGGCACTCGCAGCTCAACGCTGCCATCAGCCCGAACCATGGAGCTTGCTGGTCTCGAAGGAAAGAACCGTGCAGGATGTACTGTGTGGCGAATGGTCCATTTCTACGGACTCTCTCAGGCTCTCACAACTGCATCGAAGGCAGAGCCAAAACAATGAAACCGGTAACTTCTTCTGAACAGACAGCACCAAGACTGCACACGACAGAGTCGACCCTCGTGTTCGGCAGAGCCGTGTCGACGAACGATGAAGAGATTTTTCCGCTCACGCGGCAGTGGGAGAATCCTCTCAGAACTCTGCATGTCCAGGATACCTTCGGTCAAGAAGGAAAAAGCCACGTTTAGGCAGAATCGTGAAGGTGTAGACTCTTTCCCATGCAGGCAGGTGTCCGCGGGTAGGGAATGACATCACGGATGTTTTCGACGCCGGTGGTCCTCATCCACAAGTCAGTTCAACATCAAGACCGTCTGCGGAATAAGCATCTGATGTTCTCGTTTGCAACCATGCAGTCAAGCCGCAACATGATCAGTCGTTCAAAACCCAGGCCAAAGCCGGAGTGGGGCACGGAGCCATAACGTCTCAGGTCTCTGTACCTTTGTGCAACAGCGGCTGTCGGTTGCAGAAAAGCAAGGTACAAGGTGGAAGACAAACGCGAATACATTTGATATCGTTTGATCATAGCTTCGTACTTCGGGTAAACTGACATGTGCTGCGAGGCTTCTTGCTGCTGGGACACCACCAATAGTCCTGTGGGTTGAGGTCCATTTCGGTGATGCGTCTGTCCAACACATCCAGCCTGGCATGACTTCCGAAGCCATCTGCCCTCTTGCAGGCGAGAGCAGAACTGAAGGGAGAGAGCCTCTCTTCGCGCTGAGAACCTCCAATGACCTGTGCTTTAACACGTGATCTCAGTGTGTCTACAACCGTGTGCCAACGTCTCCGAGGCCTCCCCTATCGCTGGTGCAAGGACATCCATGGCAGCGACTGTCTTGTTGTCCTTGCGTCCAGCACAGCTCACAGCTTGGGATCATCATGATGCACGCATGAGATCGCCGTTCAGACACTACCGCCTGCACTTCCCGAGCCCGCTCTCTCACTTCGGCCTGTCCTCGTTGAGCCTCATGTAGAAAGCCTTGATGTCCTCTCGGGTCTCGGAGTTGAAGAGAAACCGTCAGGCGGCCAGATGGGCATGATGCACTTGCAGCTTGTAAACGGGAGGGTGCTGGGCCCTGAGTTGCCTTCGGGTAGTTGTACACGACTGTTGGCTTCTTGAAGACCTGCACACTCCACATCCCCAACAGATCCCAACAGCGGCCCTTTCGGTCGCTCTGAGCAGCGGCCTTCTCTGCCAGATGCCGTTCATGCTCAGAGCCGAGGTCCATCCCCCACTCTACTGGCACCTCAAAGTTGCGAGCGAGAAGCTCTCTCGAGACCTTGGAGATGGGGGGCTCTCACAAGGGTTTGGGCCGCCGCCTGGAACTTGGCCTTGGGCGACTCCTTGAGCAAGATGTCTATCGCCTGATGGGATCCCCGAGATCGCCATTCCGAATGGGTGGAGCCAAAACATGCGCCTGGCCTCCGTGTAAGTGACTCGAGCAAATGGCTCCGCTAGCAAGTTCTCGAGCCGTTTTATCAACCTGCAGCAGCTCAGCTTCTGCTTATGAGCTGCCTCACAGAAGCTTGGCTTAGCATCTTACCCTTTCTCGATCTTGTCCTCAAAAAAATCCAGGTCCTCTCGATGCAACAGGTGTTCATCAAGAGAGCAAGCAGGATGCGATCTCAGGCCTGCTTGTGGTTCTCCATAACATAGCGGACACAGTATTTCAAGTAGTCCTGGCAGTACACCGAGCTGCAGCTCACTTGCTTCCCTGCCTTCCCGCCTTCCTTCCCCAGGACATGAGCAGCTCCCTCCCCGCTGGGGGCCTCTGCCACGTTCATGTCGTCATGGATGTCGGCAAAGGCGAGCTCGGGTTCGATCATCCAGAACTCCGCAAGGTGCCTGGCGGGCCCAAGCCCACCCAAGCCCCCAAGCGCCAAAAAAGCGGGCCACGCGGCCGCCCGCAGCCGCGCCCGCCAGGCCTGGAGGTGTGGGAGTTCTCGGCCCGGAAGGTCGGTCCGAAGGTGTAGACCTGAGCGCGAAGCGGCGAAGCGGAGCGGAGCAAGAAAGAGAACAGGGGAGGGGAGGGAGGAGGGAGGAAGCCTTCCTGTGGTTCAGGCCTTGGACAAGGCACAGCAGTAGTTCTCCACAGACAACCTCGGTCGGAGATGGACAGCGTTCTGAGGTACTTCGGCAGAAGCGGGCTGCCGGGACCCCCCGCTGCCCGCTGACCGTCAGGAACGCGGGCTTCTGGAAGAAGTCTTTCGTGTAGTCAAACTGCAAGCAAGGCAAACTCAGAGCCGAGGATGCAAGGATGCTGAGATTTGCTGAGCTCGGAAAGGCTTCGATGATGCCCCGCGGCCCGTCACCCCACTTCCACACCAAATGCCTTGCCATTCACCATGGGAAGCGGCTTGCCGTCCTTTTCAGCTTCGGCCATCATGGTCGTCACCTGGAACCTTATCCGACATAGCATGCCCTGCATAACCAGGATATACAACTAGAATCTGCCACGCACACAGCAGTTCTCAGCACTGCACATCTCGCCGGCTCCCTCACAATCTGCAGCGGTGA